AGGGCATCGGGCCGCTCTTTTTATTTTACTTGGGCCAAACCTACCTAAGCCCAACTGAAAAACCAAGCTAAAACACACAGGCCAGCCCGTATTTTTATCCCTCAAGCCCAGCCAAAAATACATGGGCTCCAACCTCGTAGCTCAACAGAAACCCAAAAGAAAAAATAAACTAAAGCCCGATCACAAGCCCACAGAAAAAAATTGGCCCAAACCCCTTTTTTTTTCTTCTTTTCTTTTCTTTCTTTCTTCTTCCTTCGGTTCTTCTCCTCCTCTGGCCATCCGAAGCTTACTTCAGTTGGTGGCCGCCGGTGGCGCCACCGCCGGCGACCTCTCCGGTCACCAAAATTTCTCAAAATACACCCCCTCACTCGATTTTTCGCGTAGGTTCCGTTTTCGGAATTAGTTTTTACAAAAGATGATCCAAAAGTGGCCAAAATATCAAAATACAGTCCAGTTTTCATTTTTTAAAACACCCAAGTCACCACTAAAAATCACAAAATTTATACCACAACACTCCCTACAACCTCTACAATACAACTATGATCTTAGCTAACCGGAAAACAACAACAAAAGACTACATTAAGGCAAAACAGTCCTTAAAATTCTTTTTGGCATTTTATCAAATATTTAGCATACATACAGAAATATTACTTCTCTTTCTTCAACTTTGCTCAAGCCATTTCCCAAATTTTGAACAACACAACAACAACAATAAAAGACAGCAAAAGCCACAAAATTAAACGATAAAATGTGGGGTTGACATGGTTAATAAAGCTGGAAAAATACCTCCACTCCCGCAAGAGCTTCTTCGGTCAAAATTTTGAAGGAATTTCAGCACCTCACACTCCAATTGCTTGTTGTCTTCATTTCCTTCCTTCACCTTTCTTTGCTCCGAGGACAGGTGCATGTGAGATTGAGAGAACCAGAGATGGAGCCAAGAGAAGATTGAGGGAGATTTTTCTTCTTCTCTGTTTTTGAGAGAGAGAGCCGAGAGAGTCAGGAGTCCTTTTTTTTTTTTGTTTGTGGCTTCTCTGATGCGGGAGAGAGCCGAGAGAGGAAAATTGAGCCAAAAAGGTGGAGTGTTTTTGTTCACCAAAATGATTTTCTTCCCCTAATGAAAAGAAAGGTGCATGGGCTATCAATGATGAATTTTTTACCAAAATGGGAAGAAATGTTAATGAGGATGGAGTGTAAAAATGGGTTAATAGTGGTTCTGATGAAACAAAATGATTAGAATGATTTTTTTTATTTTCTTAATTTTCCTTCTTTTGTTTTGTTTTGTTTGTTTTTTTTTTAATTTTTCTTCTTTTCCTAAAACAAACCTGCAAAAATGAGAAAAATGCAAATTAAAATGCAAGAAAATAAATAACTCATTAAATAGAAAAATTTTGAAAAAATATTAAAAATTGACAAAAATTTGGTGTCTACACCTTGCCCCTCTTTGTCTAGAGTTTCAAAGAAATTTAAGACAAAGACGTAGACACCAAATTGCTTACCTGTTTCTTTTAACTGCACTTGAGCTAAAATAAACAAGCCAACACTTGGCTGAAATTATTGAGCAAAATGATGCAATAACATTACAGAAAGCACGTGATCGAACTCATGTAGAGTTGCCTACGTATCCCGCCATGGGAATCAGGTCAAACGTAGTTCAAATGCAAGTGAACCACAATGAAACAAGTGCATTGACCAACTGTGATCTTTGCAAAGTCGAAAAAGTCTGAGTTATTAGAACTTCTAAACATGAAATACAAAATGAATGAGACAACACAATTATTAATCAAAACAGTCAAGAAAAATAACTTCCCATAACTAGAAAAAGATGCGCGGAGGGACGCGATTACGCTTCAACAGAAAATTAAATGTTATTGCTTAGAATGGGGGTAGAAGGGTGCGCGGTGAACGCTGAGACTCACCAACAGAAAATTAAATTGATGCGCGGAGGGACGCGATTACGCTCCAACAGGAAATTAAAATTGTCAAGAAGGGGGATAGAAGGGTGCGCGGTGGACGCTGAGACTCACCAACAGGAAATTAAATTGATGCGCGGAGGGACGCGATTACGCTCCAACAGAAAATTAAATTGATGCGCGGAGGGACGCGATTACGCTCCAACAGGAATTTAAATTTGTCAAGAAGGGGGATAGAAGGGTGCGCGGTGGACGCTGAGACTCACCAACAAGATTTAAATTGTCAAGAAATAACAGATTGGTGGGATAAAACCCTAATCCAATAAAATAAAACGGTCAGTGGGATAACACCCAAACATGCCGAATCCCAACATGATATACAAAAGACACGTTAGTGGGTTGAACCCGATGCTAACGGATGTGAAAAAAAACATAACACACGTTAGTGAGTCAATACTCGATGCTAACAGTGATAAAAGACACGTTAGTGGGTTGGACCCGATGCTAACGGATATGAAAAAGCAAAACACACGCTAGTGAGTCAATACTCGATGCTAACGGTGATAAAAGACATGTTAGTGGATTGGACCCGATGCTAACGGATATGAAAAAATAAAACACGCGTTAGTGAGTTGTACTCGATGCTAACGGTGATAAAAGACACGTTAATGGGTTGGACCCGATGCTAACGGTGATAAAAAGTAAAACACACGCTAGTGAGTCAATACTCGATGCTAACGGTGATAAAAGACATGTTAGTGGGTTGGACCCGATGCTAACGGATATGAAAAAATAAAACACGCGTTAGTGAGTTGTACTCGATGCTAACGGTGATAAAAGACACGTTAGTGGGTTGGACCCGATGCTAACGGATATGAAAAAGCAAAACACACGCTAGTGAGTCAATACTCGATGCTAACGGTGATAAAAGACATGACACACGTTATTGCATGAAAAAGTTCTTGAATACTTATCTGAAAAATCATTTCAGAAATTGACTCAATTTGAATCAATTTTGTTCAACCAATCATCTGCTTTGCATTTTGACATTGTGGCTCAAGTTGGTGGATTTGTAATCTTCTTTTTTTTTTTTTTTTTTCAAAATGAAAGAAACACACACATTTTTTTTGTTTTTTTGAAAAAAAACAAAGGTGACAAATTCTAAAACTTGAAGAATACCAATGACAACTCTCCTTTCAAGAGATTTGAGAGGTACATACACATGTCACTGTCCTCTCGATTTTAAAAGACCTTTTTTTTTTTTCACAAAGCCGATTTAAAATGCATTACCAAAATTGGAGCTCATTCCTCTTGATATTTGCCCCAGTGTAAATCATGTTTAACGAAGCCACATTTTTCATGCTTTCGAAAAAACAAAAAGAATGATCATATGATACGAATACCATGTGATTCCTTGTGCTCCTTTTGGCCCTGAGAACTATGCAAGCATGATCTTTTGATGTCAAAACTGCTCCTCAAGAGTTGTGCTGCAACTTATTTTGAATCTTCTCAATTTTCTAGCATCAGTCAGCCATACCTCACTTGTACCACAAATCAACTTTTCTAATGACCAGATTTGAATGAATGGCTCTTGACAAAGAAAGATGTCACATTTGATCCCTTCGGATGTCGTCCATCTTGATGACCTTAACCCTTCGAATTTTCACTAAGATCACCCCCCTTTTCCTTTCCCCTTCCCCCTTTTTTTTTCTTTTTTTTTTGTTTTTTTTGTATCCTTCGGTTTTCACCTAATGAACAAATCTTGTCGACAACCTTTATCAACTCAGAAATGTGTTCTAAGAAAAGATGGCATCAGTGCGACAATCCTTCCCATGTAAAAATGGTGAAGGTGTACTGACATCAATTGCCATTTGATTAAGTGATTTTTATTAGAAATACCACTAAAGCGGAGGTCGAGACTTTATGATTTTTATGATGGGGTCATGTGGGGTGTAGAAAGAGTGTTAAGGCTTCAAAGCAAAATCTTCAAAGAGGTTTCAAAAACCCTAAGACCGCATTCTATCAATATTTGCCACAGTATGAGGGTATTAAAATCGAAAAAATTGCCCCAGTTTGGCTTTTGAATCTTTTTTTTCTTTTTCTGACAAATGGGAGATAAAAATTTACCCCAGGATGGGGTTTGCAATCTTTAGGAGGGCTATCAAATGAAGGGTTAAATTATTCTAGAGGTTCAATGGGGAAAACTAGGAGTAAGATGTTCAAAGAGAAAAGAAGAAGGCTCGCCTTTAATCCGCCATAGATGGTATTTCAAAAGAAAAATCACATAATCAGATAAAGAATTTATTACACATGTCTGAATTGATTGGCAGAGGAAAGACCTGTCCATCCAGTTCTATGAGAATGGGCGTTCCTCCGAATAGCACTCTTTGAACAATAAATGACTCTTGCTAAGTTGGAGCAAACTTTTCTTTAACCTCCTCTTGAATCGGAAGAATTTACTTCAAAACCTTATCCCTCATTTCAAATAAGCGAGATTTATCTTTCTTGTCATAGCCAACGAACCATCCTTTGATGATAGCATTGTCCATGACAAACATTCAACCTCTTTTTCATCAATAAGAGACAGCAACTCAGTGTGCTCCTTAATCCATTTGATTTCTTCTGCCGAGCCTTTGTCAAAATGTGCAAGGACGGGATCTCGTTTTGGCATGTATTACCACTTTCATTTCGAAGCATAAGATGTTGCCCCAACTTGGCAATGTAATCTCCAATGAAATGCTCCCAGTGTTCAATTGCAAAATTTGCAAAATCGAAGGAAAAACTCTCTTTTTCTTTTTCTCTTTTTTTTTTCAATCCCTTTTTTCTTTTCTCTCTTTTTCCCTTTTTTTCATTTTTATTATTCTCTTCTCTCTTTTTTTTTTCATTCCCCTTTTCTTTTTTCCATTTTTTTCCTTTTTCTATTTTTTTTTCATTTTCTTTTCTTTTCCTTTTTTTTTCATTCCCCTTTTCTTTTTTCCATTTTTTTCCTTTTTCTATTTTTTCTTTTCTCTTTTTTTTTCTTTCAAGTTTGCTGCCGAAGTATGTACTCCTTTTGCAAAAATAGCCGATCCTCCACTTTGCAAGGTAGTATTACCGCCCCCTTTTATTCATGATTGCTCTCCAAATTTGCAAGACTTTCACTTGCGTCCTTTCCTCGATCTTAACCATAAACACCTGCACAAAGGGGGAATTTTTCGAAACAATTGAATTTTCAAATTCTTTTTGCTCTTCTTGTTTTTTTTTTTTTTTGAGCAATGATATAACAATTAAGATTCATGCAAAGTGTTGACTTATCAAGATTTGAAAAATATATACTTGACTTTGGACATATCCTACAAATGTATTATAAAATTTTGCCTCAGTTGGAACTTATTTAGTGAAGTCTCACAAATATATTACAAAAAAAAATTTGCCCCGATTTGGGGTGCATTCTTTAGGCAAAAATCACAAGAAAAAATGAGGTAACTTACATGAAATTGTTTCTGAAGGGACCTAGACCTTTTCTTAGGCCTACGAGATGGCTTTGCACCAGTCAAGAGCAAGAAATCTGTCTCAATCTCTTCATTTGACAGAGTGGCTAAGAACTTTGGCCTTTGCAGCCATGTTGAACTCCCGCTAGCCTTCCCATCAATCCCTTTTTGTGATTGCTGCATAACGGGGGTCAAACGACCACACCCAGTCTTACAAGTAGTTGGACGACTTCGCAAGTTCCAAGGTAACCCCTCCTCAGAGGGTTTCTTGTTACCCTCCTGAAGATAGTTGTAGGATCTTTGATCTTTCTCATGATCATAAAAAATCCTCAGTTTCAGATGATCATCCATCGTGACTTTGAGGTCGCTCACTAGCTTCTCACTTACAGATTCAATGTCCTTGGTTGTGTTTCCCTTTCCACTTGCTGCTGCTGCTGCTGAGGGCATGGTGGAAATGGTTGACAGAGGTTTTCCTTCAGGGGTTTTCTTCGAGGAGCGGCTAGCTGAGGTGGATAAGGAAGTCTGCAATGATTTGACACATCAAAGATGTTTTCGGCTACTGCATTTGAGCTGAGAGGGTAGTGAAGTTATGAAGGTTTCTTTCTGGAGCACCATCCATGTCAAAATGAAGGAAAAATATGTACTTAAAAAGTTTGGCTTTGTAGATTTGACCATGTAGATTCTCGTTGGTATATGCAAATAGGAGAGGAATGATGGTTTATATAGAGAGAAAGGAAGGATGAAGAGTGCGTGAGAACCCAAAAATTTCACATTTTCTCAGCATTATTGTATTCCTTTGCCTACATTTTATACTTTTCTTGGAAATATTAAACTTTCTATGCATTTTTACAAGCAAGTACAGTTTTAAATTCATTTTCCTAGTATGAGTTAGTGTGCGTTAAATTTGAAACGCATTATCGATGTGAGGACCCGTAAAATTCCTTATATTTTTCTTACAAATACCCTTTTATTTGAAAATTATTACTTTATAATGGCCCTACTACCCAATCACCCCACAATAAGTGCAAATGAATATAGAATTAAGGGTTTTTCCTTTTCGTTTTCAAGTTAGTGCGAATTAGGATTTTTACGCCTATCCGTGGTGTGAATATCCGGTACGGAGTGTGGATCAAATTTGGTGATTAAGAGTGAGTTTTAGATGATATTAAGTGTGTGATTAGAAGTGATAATAATAAGTTAGTAAATTATAAGTTAAAACCCTAGTATACGTGATTTAAGAAAAAATGGGTTGAACCGACGGGTACCGTTTGTTATCGGATGAGTGCACCACTTGACCCATACTTTATTACCTTAATCTTCTCATTTTATTTCAGCTAATTAACCCTCAAAATATCTCATACATCAGCCACAATATTTGAGCAAGAAAACAAGAGAAAAGAAAAAAAATTGACTTCCAATCACAAGGTGACACTTGTCACCTTTAACCCAAATTCATTTCTATCATTTTTAACCTTCGTGAAGCTTCATTGAACCTTGATTTTCTGCCTACCAGCTGAGAGAGAGAGGAAGAAAAGCCAAGAGAAAGAAACCACAATCCATCTTGAGTTTGATCCACTTAAGTGAGAAAACAAGAAATCTAAAACCGATTAATCAATAGTTTGAGAGCTTGGGAAGCTTAAAAAATCAAAAATTTCAAAGAGAGGTGGAGGATATCTTTTGAAAGCTTGTTCTTGAGGTATTTTGGTTGTCCTTATCTTTGGTTCTTTTACTTTTGTTTAAGTTGTTATATAACTCATGATTTGGTTAAATTGGTAGCTATGGAAGTAGTTGTGGTGATTTTGGGAGAATTGATGAGTTAGAGTTTGTATTGATCAGCCATATTTCTTCTTGTTTAGATGGATTATGATGGGAATAAGTGTAGATAAGGAGGTGAGGTAGTGTTTTAAGCTAGAATTATGAAGATTAGCACTTGTATGCATAAATTCCAGATTTTCGGTTTTGCACCTCCCTGTTTTGACCGGCACTGTTTGACCATGTTAGAGGCCGAATTAGGCTTAGTACAAAACATAAAAGTTGTAGAAAATTATGTTTTATAGCTATCTGTAAAATTTCAGCTCAATCTGAGCACTGTATCATGTGAAAAGATAAAAATACCCCTGACTGCCATAGGTAGAGACCTGTGGACAGCGTTGACCTTTCACCAATCTGACCGTATTTGTTCACCCTGATCCATACTCAATTAGCCATTGGTCAAAACACAGAAGTTTTAGTGCTATGTCTTAGCTTTCCAACGCCCCTGGAATCACATCGATTGGACTTTGGTAGCCTGAGTTATGGCCATTGAAACGTAGTACGGTTAACTGGCCTATCGGTAGGAATCTCGTATTGTAATTTGTGGATTTGACTTGGATACCTTGCAAACTGGACTGAGTGGTCTTCATCAAAGTTGTAGTCTTTGTCTTAGCTTCGAAATGGTATAAATTGCACCTCAATCCGATAAGCGTAGCCTCGATTGTGTCCGTTACGCAAAACAACGTCAAATCTGTCTTTTGTTTCTTGACTCAAACTTCATTTCCGCACATGTTCCTAACTTGATTTTGTACTTGTATGACTTGGAGCCTATGGAATGGCTATTAAAATGAGATGATTTTGTGTGTGACTTTGGGATTGATTGAGGAATATAATGAAGCCATAAATGGCTGGAAAATAGGTAAATACAAAGGGCGTGCTGCCCAAATTTACACTCGAGGATTAGGTAACGATTTGAGAGCGAATCCCACGTGAACCATCTAGGGTATTTACGTTTTCTTTGCCACTTCGACTCAAATAGCGATTTTAAAGTTTTACAAGTGAGCATAAGTTTTATAAATATTTTACTTATGTCTTTCGGTTTAAATGTACTCTTTTCACTACCAAAATCATATTTATACTTTGCACTAGTACGTATTCAAATTTTCTTTGAATCACTTTAAATCACTTAAATCTTTGATGGTTGAAGCATAATGTGTTTTTTTGATTATATTAGGGTTCATCGGTGGCTGACGGTATTATCCGACAGGATATTTTGGATATTATTTTGCGTAAATAGGTGAGTGTTCCTTGTTTGTTATATTTTCATTGACTATGTGGCTTGTTCTTGATTATATGGCTTGTTATGAACGAATGACAACATGTTACATGTTTTCAATGATTGCTTAATTGTCGCGCCCCATTTTTCGCGATGGAAAAAGAAAGATAAAGGTGGTTTAGAAAAGATGTGATTTTATTTTAAAACAAGTTAAAAGGGACCTAAAATGGGACTTTAAAAAATGCGACAATTTGGGTCCAAAAATTTAGTCTAAAAAGGGTTTTTTAGAAAAAATAGGAGTCACCACTTGGTATCGAGTTTTGGTGTACCAAGTCACCCGAAAAATATTTTTGACAGAAATAAAATAAATCAAAACCCTTTTTGACAACTCCAGGTCTTTGAAAACAAGAGAAATGGGTTCGGGAGTCACGGTTGAAGAAAGGGAAGGCAAAGGTTCAATTGACTCAAACCTAAGGCACCCTTTCAACCTAATCTAAGCTAGTTGCGAGGTTTAGTCAAAATTTTCCTAATCTAACCCTTAATTTTATCATATTTGGATGTTTCCTACATGGATGCAAATCTAAATTTATAAAAACATTGAAAGGGACAAAATGTTCATTCAAGGGTTTGATTGAACCAACCGCATTAATTGCGAAAGCCAAAATAACTCCTTGAAAGTGTCACGAATATGCAAATGATGAAATTAAAAGAAAAGAAGAGAAAAGAAATTAAATTATATACATATATAAATGATCAAAGGAAAAGGGAATGCAACATAAAGGGTACGGGAGACAAAAACTCGTGACATAATTTTCTTATACATGGATTAATAGAGTATTTAAACTAAAAAGTTATAATCACCCATTTCCCATGTTAAAAAAAAAAAAAAAATAACTATCCTAACATGAACAAGCAAATGAACTAACTTAAATGAGATGCAATTCTAAATGACATGATTTGTACCTACAGAGGGTAAGGGATAATATAATAGGGAATATCATACAAATGAGAAAAGATCCTAAAAATGAAAATATGCATGAAAATGTGGTGAAAAGCATACAAAGATGAATCTAGCGCAAGATGACCTAAAGGGTCTAGCGTTGGACTAACCCATTTCTAAAAAAATCCTTACTAGCGTTGGACTAGCAAGTAAGTGGAGGGAAAAATCACAACTAGCGTTGGACTAGTGTGGTGACGTCATGCATTAACAATTCATAGTGAAACAAATAAAACATAAATTAAAACAAATAAACACATAAGAGCACGTAGCACATAACACGTAAACATAATATCTAGATGCCAAAATCCTAAGAAAAGCGGATAAAACACATAACACATAAGCCACATAAACACGCAACCTATCTATTACATCGGGGAGCGCCTAACTACAATCTAGAAGGGAAAAATATAATAAAACAAATCTAATTATCCTATCTATTACATTTTTGAGGTATTTAAATGCCTCTTGAATCATTGTAAAAAAAATTAACTAAAACATATGTAAGAAAATTTGAATGAATATTTAAATCAAATAAATAAAGCATATAAAAATATAAACACATAGGAACACATAAGAGCACATAAGATCACGTAATTGACATTGAAATAATAAAAATAGGAGTACCTCCCGTTTGAAGTGGTAACTAAATGGAGTCAAATTGTCCTATTTATACTCACAATGAACAAAAGGATCATGGCACCAATTTAATTGAAAAAGAAAATAATAATACAAGTACTAAATTCACACTAATATGTCAGACGTAAAGAAATTTAAGCAAATCTAAAAATTCCAAGTTAAGTATATTCTAAAGTAACATAATTAGCTATTAAAGAAAAGAAACAATCATAACAAAGAGAGTCAAAATTCACCATGTACTGAATTGCAAAAACTGAAAAACTTTTGGGGACAAAAATTATATTTTTCCAAAGTTTAGAGGTCAAAATTAAATGAAAGATAAAATTCAAGGACCAAAGTGAAATTAATTTAAGGACCTAAGTGAAACAAATTTAAAATGTTCTGGGCCGAAGTGAAACTACTCCAAAGATCAGGGGCCAAAGTGCAAATCGTAACCAGATCTGGGCAAGAACAAGGGCATCGGGCCGCTCTTTTTATTTTACTTGGGCCAAACCTACCTAAGCCCAACTGAAAAACCAAGCTAAAACACACAGGCCAGCCCGTATTTTTATCCCTCAAGCCCAGCCAAAAATACATGGGCTCCAACCTCGTAGCCCAACAGAAACCCAAAAGAAAAAATAAACTAAAGGCCGATCACAAGCCCACAGAAAAAAATTGGCCCAAACCCCTTTTTTTTTCTTCTTTTCTTTTCTTTCTTTTTTTCTTCTTTTCTTTTCTTTCTTTCTTCTTCCTTCGGTTCTTCTCCTCCTCTGGCCATCCGAAGCTTACTTCAGTTGGTGGCCGCCGGTGGCGCCACCGCCGGCGACCTCTCCGGTCACCAAAATTTCTCAAAATACACCCCCTCACTCGATTTTTCGCGTAGGTTCCGTTTTCGGAATTAGTTTTTACAAAAGATGATCCAAAAGTGGCCAAAATATCAAAATACAGTCCAGTTTTCATTTTTTAAAACACCCAAGTCACCACTAAAAATCACAAAATTTATACCACAACACTCCCTACAACCTCTACAATACAACTATGATCTTAGCTAACCGGAAAACAACAACAAAAGACTACATTAAGGCAAAACAGTCCTTAAAATTCTTTTTGGCATTTTATCAAATATTTAGCATACATACAGAAATATTACTTCTCTTTCTTCAACTTTGCTCAAGCCATTTCCCAAATTTTGAACAACACAACAACAACAATAAAAGACAGCAAAAGCCACAAAATTAAACGATAAAATGTGGGGTTGACATGGTTAATAAAGCTGGAAAAATACCTCCACTCCCGCAAGAGCTTCTTCGGTCAAAATTTTGAAGGAATTTCAGCACCTCACACTCCAATTGCTTGTTGTCTTCATTTCCTTCCTTCACCTTTCTTTGCTCCGAGGACAGGTGCATGTGAGATTGAGAGAACCAGAGATGGAGCCAAGAGAAGATTGAGGGAGATTTTTCTTCTTCTCTGTTTTTGAGAGAGAGAGCCGAGAGAGTCAGGAGTCCTTTTTTTTTTTTGTTTGTGGCTTCTCTGATGCGGGAGAGAGCCGAGAGAGGAAAATTGAGCCAAAAAGGTGGAGTGTTTTTGTTCACCAAAATGATTTTCTTCCCCTAATGAAAAGAAAGGTGCATGGGCTATCAATGATGAATTTTTTACCAAAATGGGAAGAAATGTTAATGAGGATGGAGTGTAAAAATGGGTTAATAGTGGTTCTGATGAAACAAAATGATTAGAATGATTTTTTTTATTTTCTTAATTTTCCTTCTTTTGTTTTGTTTTGTTTGTTTTTTTTTTAATTTTTCTTCTTTTCCTAAAACAAACCTGTAAAAATGAGAAAAATGCAAATTAAAATGCAAGAAAATAAATAACTCATTAAATAGAAAAATTTTGAAAAAATATTAAAAATTGACAAAAATTTGGTGTCTACATATGCTACGTAGTGTATGCCTCACTATTGACACATGAACTCTGAGTAATACTTTTATGTGAGTTTGCAGGTTCCATGGAAAGTTCTTGTAACTCAACGTGCTCAACTACATTTCAAAAATCAAATGATAAAGCCACTCTTGTATTTTTCAGATGATGTCATTTTTGTTTCCATATCATGTGAAAGGTTTTGACAAAGTCTACCTTGGATCTTTACAAGAAGTTACCTCATGCCGTCCTAATTTTTTTATTAATATATATATATATATTCCAAAAACGATTGACCACACCATTACAACTGTGTCTTGAGTAAAGTGTCTATATTGTCTAATAAATCTCAGGTTCTCTAATATCTGTAAGAAATCTTGCAATTTTCTGCAGCATTATTTAGCAATGCTATTCCTTTAATATCATATCTATCATATAAAGAAAAGGCAAAAGAAAAGAAGAAGATATTACTTTCAAGCTTGGAGTAATCAAAATCAAATAGCTTCTTTTTCATTGACATTTTCATCAATAAGTTCTTGATACCTAGCAAAAGGGAAGGGATCTTAATCCATAAGGGTTTTGATTAGCATATTCTTTCTAGTATATATATATATATATAACTCTTATTAGAGTTAACTAAATTGATCTCTACATAATCATCAGACAAGTGTGATTGTTCTACAGAATATCGGATATAGTAAGTGATGATCCTACATTGAAAATTTTGTGAAGATGAAAAGGTTTATAGTATTTTACATTCCAATAAATAAATTTTGATGGTCAAAAATAATTATGAAACGAAATTTCAAAATTTCACTTGCATTTGTCTTGCTTGACTATTAGATTAATATATATTGGTTAGTGGTCAAAAGATTAGTATTTGGACCTTAAGTTAATATTTTGTTTCAATTAACAGTTATGTTAGTTAAATATTAGATTGAGACATCCAGGATACAAGTTGTACTTTTCATTCTCCTTCTCCTTTGATGAAAACAGAAAATTTCTAATTCAGGAGAGTTTCTTTATTTCGCAGTAGAAAAACTCTAGTTTGGCTGTGTAATTCTTGGAGGGAATTGGGAATTGTTGCGTACACGGTAGCAATATAGTGTGGGCAAATTTCCTTTAAAAAATTAAATCTATCTTAAATAAAACTAAACTAATCTCTACGTAATCAGAAGACAACAAATCCTAATCATTAATGGTGGGCTACGTTCACGCCTAAGCCTTAATCGAAACTAAACTAATCTCTGTTTAATCAGCACACAATAAATCCTAATCATCAATGACGGGCTACAAGAAGTTGAGGGTTGAAATTCCAAATTCGTCGGTGGTTAACTAGTGCCTCAAGAAGGTTAGCCGAAATTCCAAATAGGCTTATCTCCAAAGTCCAAACGAATCTTTTGCTTGTCAAATCTCCTTAGATTTGAGTTAAGTTTCTGACTAATTTCTAGGAGATATCGTACTAAAACCAAGGATCAACACTGCAGAGAGGAGAGACACGTAAGGGACAGTAGCACAGGACACTGGAACATAGATTTTGTGGCAGTTGAAGTGCTGACAGTTTTAATGATTTTTCCACAACGACACGGCCTTTGGTCTGTACCTCATTTGGTATCTATATATACAAGTCAAATGGGATAACTGAATCATCATTTCCGCAATTGTTTGCTTAAACAAGGAAGCTTTTTTATGCCATAACAGCCCAGCAAGTCAGGAAGGCAGATTTCTTCTGATATTCTTGAAATTGTGAGAGGTTTTGATTTTCTTCTGATTTTGAGAATTTCTGTAACGATCACATCTGGGTTTTGTTTGGATTCTTTGGTAGATTCATCGATAGCAGGAAAAAAAAAAAGAGTGAGCAGAATGCCACAGGTTTGGCAGACTGAAGAAAGCAGCAAGCTTGGATCAGAGGAAGGAAACTGTTCAGGTTGCGAGGGGTTGATGGTTATGTGTTCAAAGAGGTGAGTAAAATTCAGATTTGCTTAAATTATCACTGATGATTTTTGTTTAGTACTGAAGTTTTTCCAATTTTTGTGACCATGCCTGTGAATTTATGTTTGTTCTGGGATTTTGCAGTAAAATTGATGGGATGGAAGAACTTGAGGATATGGTGAATCAGAAATTGAACAGTATGATTAGCCTAGTGGAGCAAAGATTTGAGGAGATTGATCAAAGCATTGTAAGTTTGAACTTGGCCAAGATCAAATTAATTAGCTGCACCTTGTACCAAAAAGCTTATGATTTTCATATGGTAGTGATTTCATGATTTGGTTTGGGTTGACTTCAGCTTAGTTGCAGGTAGTTTCTTGTTCTCCGCTGTCTGGCTTTTTGCCCCAATAAAGTTAACGAACGTTTGTTTCCCTTTTCATTTTTCTTAACTTTTTTACTTTAATTGATATCTTTGGTAAAACTTAAAAGGAACATATAATGCTTATAGGTCAAGGAGTCCAATAGACAATAGTTGCTAAAAACTGAAGACTATTACCCCAAAAAATGAAGAGAATCACTTACTGAATAGCTACTTATTTTCTCTCTCTTTTATTTCATTTTTCCTTATTTGAAATCCCAGTAGTAGTATCCAAATGTTTAAACTACCCATTTACGCTGGAGACTTCATGTTGATTTATACTTATCATCTGTTGTTGAAGTCTTTGCATCTGATATAGATTCTGTTATTACCGAAAACAAGACATTAGCAAATGGAAAAGCAATATTGTTTCTTTATTCTGGGAGATCAAAGAAACTTCTGCTTTTCATTATTGGTGAATATTCTTCTCATGTCTGCTCATGGAGTATATTTATTTTCCCCCCGAAATTTTGCTGCCATGTGAGCACATGAGCATGGTTCACCATATCGGCTGATTCAGAGTTGACTCGCCTGAGTCATAATCGGAATGGGAGGCATCGATACAATATCAACACCTGAATCGCTGTTTGACTGGGATGACTCGATTGACTCAACCGATATTGATTGAGTCAACTCAAATCGACAAGAAATCGGCAAAACTCACCGAGTTTGGCCAAGTCAAATCGTGAGTCGGATAACCAAAGTGCCGGACAACAAACAAATCAACCAGAAGCAGAGTCAAGAAAACTATAGAGTAGCGTAGACATAGATAGGGAAGAGAGTTTCAACAAATTCTCCCTCCCTAACTGCTAAAGAAGCGAGTATTCTGAACAAATATTTCATCACCTGGACTTCAGAGAATGCCAACTCTAGCTGGTAATCAAGTTTTCTCATCAATCTCTACTGATATATCCAAGATCGTTTCGTACTCGAGGCCATTTTGCAAAAATTTTACTGGTTCTCAGATCCGTCTTTCAAGCATTGCTACTCGGGCTCGGATTTCCAGTGAATCAACTTCTCAACCACTGCAATGGTGAACACCCACAAGTAGAGTGGGAAAGTGGGTTTTGAGGAGGATAGTAAATGGATGGAAAAGTAGAGTTAGGGAAATCCATTCCCAATGGATATGCAGGAAAGGAAGAGAAGTGGATTAATCGGAGAAGATGAGAACCTTTTTTCGGGTGGAAAGGAAGACGAGGATGCTTATATGTGGGGATTGGTTTTAGGCTTAATTACAAAGTGCCCCCTGTGATTATGAATCAGTAGCAAATTTCCCCTATATTTACAAAAATCATTTGCTTTTAATACTATAAATCAATAACAGTGTCACTTTCTTTAAATTCTTATGTTAACTAAGGTTTTTATCAACTTTAATTTGATAGTCGTAATGGTTATAGTATTTTTTTATTTTTATTAATTTTTCTATTTTCTTTAAAAAGCCTTATATGCTCTAACTTGCATATGACTTGATATTTAATCGATATGTTGTATGCATCAATTGTAGCTTGCCATTGGTCAAACGGTAAAGAAACTTGAAGTGGCTGTGGAGAAGCTCTTGGTTAGTTGTAGGAGGTAAGAAGCAAACTCAAAGCTCCCTTTGGAAGCACATGATAGTTGTTCAGTGTTTTCTTATTTACATTATCTATGTAAGTATAACAGCTCAAACATGTCTGTGCTTCTTGTCCAGTAATATTGAGAAGACAATACAGGACACCAAACAAAGATGCATGAAGTTAAAATTCAACAGCAATATCTCCGTTCCTTTTCTAACTGGAGAGCAAATCAAAGGAGAAGGAGGTAACAATTTGCAACTGTCTCTGATTGATAATTGTACAGGAGCAATTGTTGACTTTGGACGAGAAGCCTCTGCTCAAGTGGAAATAGTTGCTCTCGAGGGAGATCTAGATGATGATGATGAAGGAGATGCTTGGACAGCTGAAGAGTTTCAAAGTAAAATTGCTCGAGATAGGGAAGGAAAAAGATCTGTTCTTGCAGGAAAGTTGCAACTGAAATTGAATAAAGGAACTGTGTCTTTGTCTGATGTTAAGTTTAGAAGTTCTCAACGCTATAATGGTGGCATCTTCAAGCTAGGGGCTTGCGTTGTTGATACTTTTGATGGCGGTCAAGTAATAGAAGCGAAGACAAAATCTTTCCAAGTGAATGACTATCGCAAAAAATGTAAGTGATCCCAGTCTTTTTTCCCTCTACTGTGTCATTTTACCCAATTCAAATTAGTCATCGTCAAAGGATTGAATGCCATTATAATAGAGAACTGCTTTGAGATCAAAGTAAATAGGCACTGTGGACTTGGTATTATTAATTGTAAAAGCTGATCCGAGATGTCAATATAAGAACCAAAAGATGAATGAACGAGGCCTGAAGTGAGGTTCTAACTTGAGATTAGCACCAAAAGAGACCGAAATCAGATGAAATACTGTAGAATAGATAAAGTTTTTAGTTATTGAAAGGAAATAAAAAGATGGTTGAGAATCATGACAGTCGGAGAATGCCTATAAATGTATGACAGAGATTGACAAAGACCTATTGGATGGCTTTTTGATTTCCCAGAGGATTTGTGAATTCCATTTTTTTTCCTGAAAACTAAGCATATTGTAAAGCTTTTCTGGTGGCATATTTTTTAGCTGATACTTGTAACTCAGTTCTAAATTGGAAAAATATTTGTTCTCTGGCACTTCTGTATTCTTTGACATATGAGGTATATCTTCTGCTGAAAACAGGACATAAAAGGATCTAGCATCTTGAGAACTATCCTGTTATGCAAATCAAACAAATAGAAAACTTGGATGAAGAGTATAAGAAATTCTACATCTACTAAATGCTATTTCTGCAGATAACCAGAAGCATCACCCCCCTTCTGCATCTGATGAGGTTTGGCGGTTAGAGAACATTGGGAAAGGTGGTCCTATCCATGATCGTCTGAAGGGGGCCAACGTGAACCATGTGAAGGATTTCCAGACTAGACTCTCAGAAGACCCTGAAGAGCTCAAATGCGTAAAGTTCACTGCTTTACTTAATTTATACGGGCACTCTGCTGCAAGTTATTGGGTGCATACATGATTCACCGTATCTTCTTGTTCAACATGACCAGTTTAAACATACTATTTATAGCATTATGACTATGTCAACTAGTAAAACTTTACTTACCTAAAACTCTATCATTTTGCTCTTTCGCATTTGTATATTCTTAAGGAGACTAATACTTGTCTATGTAGCTATGCCACCAGCTTTTATATCTGATTTGTCCTTATCACTGAAAATGAGAGCTGCTCTCTCGCATGAAACTCTGCAACTTCTTACACTAATTGGTTATCCACAAGGTATGTGTTGCCTAGGATAATGTTAAGATAGCAAATAAATGCCCAAAAAGATATGCATGACCATACTAAATTACTGAAATAACTCTTCTGCTAGATGCTGGACATTTTTTTCCTCAAACCTAATACTAGTTGAGTGGATAATATGAAAGTTCAAGATCTTCTGAATAGTTGAAAAGTTGTTAATCTGTATTTTAGAATTAATACATGTTATTTTGTACAACTGACAGCTAGTAGGTCTACCTGCAAAGAAGTGGGAGGCCACAGTGAACCACGCTCAAGCATGCATACCTGATAATATGGTTGGACAGGTTCCTCCACCAGTATGTGTAACTATGTTGTACAATCTACCAGAAGATACCACAGAATATTTTATAAAAACCAATTTCACATTCTTTCTCTCTTTTCTTTCCCACTTGTTATACTTCTAGTTTATGCCAGCTTTTGAACATATGTTGTCAGGCTTATGCTTGCAATGTGTCAGTAGCATCTGGAGATGAAGACGAAGGAGTCTCTTTTGATGTTGGAGATCCTCTTCTGCAGATCATTTCTCCCTCATCTAATATTGTGGAACTTCTAAGTTCTCCAAGGCTAGAACATTTTAGGGGTCAAGATACTGTGGCCACTGAAATGGGTGAATGTGATCCTACAATCTTAAACAACTCTTTTGAATGTACCCTTTCTTCTATCCATCACACTAGTTTTGGTAAAGTTGAAAGTCGTAATACTAATTGCACTGATAATGTGGAGATCATGAATAGGTTGCATTCAAGTTCACAGGGTCTGGGATCTTTTTCCCCAAGTGACAGTCCAGTTATCGACTTCGATGAAGTTAAAAATTGGCTAGACGAAGACCCTGGTGTGGGATCATGTACCAGCCACAACCAGAAGAAGAGTTGGACCTTATTGTTTACAGTCTCAAAATGGTTCTCAAGAAGAAAACGAACAACAGCTTTTGAGAGGAATCATATTCAGAAGAAGCAAAGAATCTGTTACTGAGCCAAGTTTGCATAGTTTGCCCAGAACATTAGACTCGATAACTGTTGGATACTACAGGGAAAACTTGTACAGAGTTTGAATACTTATATGATCATGGATGTAGAACTATATTAGGAGTAGAGGGATATCTTCTGACAAGGCTTGAAAGAAACGTACAGGACGGCATCGTCAGATATGGTTCTTGCAATTTGGTGAATGTTTAATATCTGTAGCTTTGGCCCTTCAAAGAACAATCAATATAGAAGTCTTCATACATGTTAACTTGTTAAAAATGTTACAGATTCTATCTTGGGATAAACTTGGAGCCACCATCGCATCTATTGATATATATATATTTATATATTTATATATGCACAACATATATACCAAAACATTTCGAGTTATATATTGCATATCTTAGCTCAAAGTGCTTCAAGTGCATCTTTCATCGATAAAGTCTAAAATGCAGAAACTTATTTTGAATAAAAAATTGTCATAGTACCTGATGATGACCATAGATGGATGCAAATCAGCAGCCAATAACACCTTTTTTTTTGTGAGTCCTCTCTCCAACTGAATCAGCACCATTCTGAATGAACTCTTCTAAATTTGCATGTGAAGAGAACATAGCACAACCTACAAGTTTCAAAATTTCAAGAAACCCACCACTATTGTTCTTGTGTACCTTGATCAGCAAAGCATGAACTCTTTTAGAATTTTTTTTATAAAAAAAATTTGAAATCTTTTCGTAATTTCTAGTGTCCATTTTGCATGAATTTCATTAAGAAAACAGTCTGTATCCTAAGTGATCACATTCCTAAGGATAAAATACACTTTACTGCCATGTGGTTTACTAATTTTTCATATAAACTTCTTACAGTTTCAAAAGTTATAGACTAAAGTGTAGATATGATAGAAATGATCCTCCGTGATGGAACCCAAGGAAATGTCAAGAATATTCTTATTTAAAAACTAAAATGGTTGAAGTGACGAAAATATATAAACTTAATGTACTTGATACTTTAACCCTGTATGATTTTATGTTTTACTACATAACCCCTTTATATTTTAGTATTTTATCATGCAACTCTCTTATGATTTTTAAATTATATACATAACCCTCTATGGTTAATTAATAATTTCAAACTTCACAAAGGGGTACTTTTGACATTTTAATTGATTTCATTATGAAATGCAAAATTCTGTGAATTTGACACTTTAGTTTAAATTACAAGGGGTTTATATATAATTTTTCAAATCGCAAGGAAGTTATATGAAAAAGCACTAAACCACGAAAAAGTAAAGTGTATTTTACGGGCATTCCTAAATTTCATGCTCAAAATATTGTTACTAAATTTCAAAGCTTAGCCGACCTTTAACGACTTTATGTAAATGTAGGAAAGTTCAGAAAGGGAAACTTTATGATTTCGTGTCAAAGCCCTAGAGTCCATTCGTGGATCTAACTAGAAATAAAATGAAAGGAAGTAAGGGGGGGGGTTGGTTTAATTACCGCATATTCCTTTAATTTCTTTTACCTGGATAAGTATCATCACTAATATGTTAAAATCTGTTATTAGACTTCATCATAGAGCATAGTTTGCTCAACTTAACAAGCTGTCATACGTTTAAATCGCTATCTCAAGTTTCTAGGAACTAAATACTTATTTTGTGGTTTTTGGTCACCAAACTGGACATATGTGAAGACTGAACATATAAAATTACTTACTCTTAATTCTCTTCTCTTCTGCTTCTTCAAAAATATTAGTTAGTTCTATACTTACTTTCAAGCGTAGGTGATCATTGAGAAGGAAGAAAGCCACGTTGGATTTGTCTTGGAGCTAAAGTTGGCAGTTAAAAATA